CCCCAACTTATTCAACCAGTTAGCGTGTCTACATATCCAGTCACAATCCACCAAATCGCTTCTCTTCAATGCTCGCTCACTTCCAAATAAGATGCCCACTCTTCGCTCCATGGTGTCTCTCTTTCAACCTGACTTTTTCCTAGCTACAGAGACATGGTTCGCAAGCGAAACTCCGCAGTCTTGCTATCACATTGATCAATATCATAGTTTTCTCGCGTGTCGAACCTCAGCACCTGGTGGCGGTTGCATCATTTATATATCAAATAACTTCCAAGCATCACTGCTGTGCGCTTCCCTTCCAGACAGCGACATTGACAGCATAATTGCACATGTTGCTCTAGGTAGAACCTCGATGGTTTTGGGTTGCATTTACTCCCCTCCGAATCCCAGTACGGATGACTTACGAACATTGGAACGCTTGTTTTGCTACTTAGCAAAATTACCAGTTAAATGTAAAGTATTAGGAGGAGATTTCAATATACCTGATATTGACTGGAGATCGTGCGCCGCACCTACTAAATATTCGAGACTGATGTCTTCTTTACATGTATATGGATGGACACAACATGTCCATTCACCCACCAGGGGAAACCACACTCTCGATTTATTCCTTACGCTAGGCCTATCCAACGTTTCTGCTGTTGTTCTAGACAATTTCCCTGGCAGCGATCACAAGATGGTCCAACTCACCGTCGATAAGCCATTTTCTGATCCTACCCCGACTAAACCTGCCGTCCTCTACCGACCATACAATTTGTTACACATGGAATCGCTTTCAGCCCTTCTGAGATCCTTGCACTGGGAAAATTTCTTCCTAACCAATGATCCACAAGTGGAAGCCGATGAGTTCTACAAGAACATTGAGATGTGTCTAGATGCGCTAGTACCACTGAATTATTGCCGTCATTCCAGAAAAATAAATTTAGAGTCTACCCCCGGAAATTTTTCACGCAAACTTGCACGACTCCGAAATTACTACTTAAAAACAAATGACTTCTCCCTAGTATTGCTACAACAGAAAATCCTTGCTCAACTTGACAGACTTCGGCATATCAGCCTTATGGACGTAGAAAGACGGGCGCTAAATAGCATGAATAAAAACCTAGAACTCACCAAGCTGATGAAATATAGAAACAAGAATACGGAAACCCCATCCATCCTGATTTCTGGTAACCAAATAACTAACAATCCAGCTAAAATAAGCAGGGATTTCAATAATTACTTTTGTTCTACTTTTAACACCGTTGCTGCGGCTCCCTCGCACATTATCCCTCTGCTTACTGATGACAAGATCTGCACAGTTGATTTTGAACTTCGTGATATAAATCGACTTATCACCTCTACGAAGACATCATGGTATGCCGGACCTGATAAATTACCACCAACGCTTATAAAATACGGTGGATCTGACTTCCCTGTACTACTTTTGAATCTTTTTTCTCTATCCATGAACACCGGTACCGTGCCATCACAGTGGAAGACGGCTGTAGTCATTCCTCGCTACAAGTCAGGCTCTGTGCATGAAATGAGCAACTACCGCCCAATAAGCCATACTTCTTTTTTTTTTTTTTTGGTGGAGCGTCACATAAAGTCCAAAACTGTGGACTTCATGATGTCGCGAAATCTTATCAACACCTCACAACACGGCTTCCTAAGCACGCGATCCTGCATAACATGTCAGATAGACTTTCTCAGTCTTCTGACTACTTCGCTCGATGACGGTTCATCAGCGATAGTCATCTACCTAGATATGCACAAAGCATTTGATCGTGTCCCTCATAACCACCTCTTATCCAAACTAACTGCATATGGCATAGACAACCCTCTGCTTTCATGGTTTGATTCTTACCTAACTAATAGAACCCAGGTTGTTCAGATCGAGCATGAAACAAGCACGCCAAAGCCTGTCACCAGTGGTGTGATACAAGGTAGTGTTCTGGGACCCTTTTTATTCCTACTTTACGTAAATGATATTTTTGATGTCTCTGCCTCCGGCAAACCTTTCCTGTTTGCCGATGACATCAAAATTGTTTACACTTTTAATCCAACTGAGGTCAGTGATACGCTTAGCGAAATCCAGCATGACTTACGTACACTGGACTCATGGAGTTCCAAATGGATGATGACATTCTCTACTGATAAATGCCACGTGGTATCCTACAGATGTGACATCACACCAGGTTCGCTAACTATAGATGGTAAACCATTGTCCCACTGCCACACTATCCGTGACCTAGGGATCCACTACTCGAGCACCCTTAACTTTTCCGAACACGCAGGACACACCGCAGCTCAAGCCCGCCGAAGCATTGGGCTTTTGTTCAAAACCTTTAACTTAAAAGAATCCATTAATACCATGTATAGAATAAAAACGCGCCCGCTGCTTGAATATGGCTCCATCACCTACTGTAATTCTAGAGTGAGTGATCGTATGGCATTGGAAGGTGTTCAAAGATCATTTACTAAGCGTCTTCTAGGCTATTCCACCACCCTACCTTACATGGACCGTTGCGTTGCCTTAAAACTTGATCCACTGTGGCTGCGAAGAATGAAACTTAACCTTTTCATCTTCTTTGACACAATTACCCAAAAAATACATTCTTCACGCCTATCGGTACAACGAGCAGAATTATCAAATTATCGCACCCGAAATAACGATCACAATAAAGTAAAAGTGAAAAGATCACGAACGAAACTGTCTGGCAACTTTTTCCTAAATCGATACTCCATATTGTGGAACAGGCTTCCATCTGAGATACGTGCAATCCAGTCAGGGATGAAGTTCCGACACGTTATACATTCCTTTCTAAACGTCGAAACAGCGATCGGTATATTGCAACCTACCTTGACAAGTGAATCCCCATACGAAATAGGAGCAAAATGGATATAGTATCAATATCAGGGGATCTTTTTATTCTCCTGTTGCCCGATCTTACTGCCCTCCCCAAATTTATCAGTAGTAATAACGTGTTTTCTAAAGGCAAAAATATCCTGATTAACAATGAAGTTCACACTCACCAAGACGGAAATGTGCCCTAGAGTTCCTCTCGAGCAAATTATTTCGCACTTGTTCTGCAACGCTAATTATCTTCTACTTATCTCTTCCCCTGGCCCCCTTCCTTAGGTACGAGCTGCTGTGTTACGTGCCCAGCGAAATCAATGTTGATTTAATCCTTCTGCTTTTGGACTGAATCCATTTGATAACACCTTCCGAAAACCTACCATGATCTTCCACGCTTATGTTCACTCTGAACAAATCCTCTCATCGAAATCAGCTTCTCCTCTTACCGCACACAGCTGAACAGTTGGAACGACGGTTAACTTACTTTACTTTACGTACAGTTTTCTCTCCCTCCCTGAAAAATACCATGCGTACATACAACATTTCTCAGTACCATACCAAATTATTTCGCATCACCAATTTTCCCATTTTGATCTCCGACAAATGCTGGAGCTATCTTACTATTTCCTCCGAAAATTCTTCTCCTTTTCTGTAAAAACCATGTATATTCCTGAGGTTATCAGTTACCAGTGAAACTTGTACAATCTGAATCGAACAACGTCGGACGAAAATCTAGCATTTCACGTTACTGTACGTCCACCCACTTTTATTTGCTTATTTCTCTCCTTCCAGTGTTGGCCAGGATTGGGCCGATCTCCCGAGGCTATGGATAAACGCTTCCGAAAAAATGCAGCACACTCATGCAGTATGAGTCATCACAAACTCACTGGCACATATCACAAGTGCTTGATTCGAATCAGCCAAATGATGGCTGTGCGATGGGGAGAGCTTAATATGAAACACAGGCCCCCACAGTACAGTGCTGGAATTGAATCAGCTAAAAGATAGCTGTATGATGGGGAGAGCTTTTCATTGAACACAGGCTCCCACAACATAGTACTGGAAACAAATCAGATAAAAGATGGTTATACGATGGGGAGAGCTTAATATATATCACAGGCCCCCACATAACTGTATACATATAACGCCACAATAGCACATGGCCAGATGAGATGTGGAAGAGAAGTGTGGAAGCAGGTCTCCGGGAGATGGTTTCATGATGGGTCGTATTACTCCAATTAAACTGACAGTTTATATCTACTTTTATTCTTACTCTCAACTTCTACTACTCTTACTCCTTTACTAGTTTTAATTGATTTAGCATTGAATCATTCCTATGTGAACACAATAGATCACTGAATATCCCTCTCCACTACCCGACTTTGTTGTACCACATGATCAGGCTCGTAGTCTGTCTGTGTCTCGCATGTCGAGAAATATATCATTTATTTATTTATTTATAGTTTACTTTGGCCGCTTTCAACGCAACCATCCTATGCAAATTGTCATGGCCATGCTTCTATCAGTGGTAAATCATTATTCATCATTCGTTTTACATTATTATTTCGTTACTTATTTAAGCCAGTACGAATGGAACAAATATAATAAAATAGATGATACGGCATGTTGCCTGAAGCGAATGTGAATGTTCATACACATCATCATTAGTGTTCCAGCCACTGATATTTATTAAAGTTTGAAATTCCTGGGAAATTGTAATAATTGTTCGTTTTTACTGCATTTTGCAGTTACTCTTTGTGTTGTCCAAGATGCATTAAAAAGCGTGACGTTAAAGCAGGATGTTAACTGTGCATTTGACGTAACAACCAGACTAATAGAATCCCAGCCATATTGCAGCAACACTTTCGCGACCAGTGTCAAGCACCTGCGTGGGCATGTAATACACAATGACTGACCAATCAGAATAAAGTGGTTATCAAGAACGTAAGTCTATAAAATGAACACAGGGTTACCTGGGGACGTCCATTCCCGTCCCGTCTTCTGTAAATAATCGCTACAAAACGGCGACCTTTCCACTGTTGGTGTCACACCGATCGGTGACGAACGTCTGGAAGCAAACTGCCCAGCACGAAAGCAACTCAACAACTATATCACGAGAATTTTTCATTTATCTTTTTTATTTTTGTCGTGCTATGCAGCTGCACAAAATCTGAGGGCCGTGCAAATGTAGTACATTCAACTCTAAAGCTGCGAGCCTGAACTAACATTTTCTCGATTATGCTTCGTTTTCAAGTCAATGTAAATCGTATGGATGCGCCAGCGTGCAGTTATACAGCGAACCGACATGGTGCTTACGACCGACGACCAGATCACACGCCACCCCGTTGTTTGCGTAAGTAATCTCGGGCACCAGAAAGTCCGGATTGAGGATCAGGTGAAAGGTATATTTTCCATGAGGTAAATCCGTTATGTCCAACCATTGGCAGTCGTAGTCATGGAAGTAATTGTCTTGGCAACCTGGGCTTATGCCTGTGAATGGTGAGAGGGACATAGATGATGTAAAGCCCTTTAGTAGTTCAATAGTGCATCATGGGATAAAACAGCCATAGTTAGTAGGGTAGTTTGTATAGACGGAAGTCGAATAGGAGGAAAAGACCAGTAAAACTACTCATTGAGGATGTTGCTGCTATAACTGTGATGTACATAGTTCGTGATAGGCAGGCTCAATTTGAACAGTAATTGAACTTAAAAGTAACGTCTGTAGGTTCATACATGAAGGCTCTCAGGCAAACGATGTCTAAGTGTTAATTTTGAGTGTGCATCGGCTAACGCAAATTTCCTCCTTACCTGAATGGATATAAAATCGAAATAAAATTAACCCGTGTTCTGAGACAAATGGCTACTCTTTTAAAAGACACGTTTGTTCAGACACAATGACTTTACCTTGATCCCCCTTGGTAGATGGCGTAGTGGAACATCTGAAATGTGGTTTATAACCAGGTTTGCAAGCGTTGTCCTCCAGACAGAAGCTGGCCTTGAGACCGACAGCTAAGACACGGTGTTCTATGTCGACCACTTTGTAGTACGAGAACACTTTCATGCTGTGATAATGCCTGTAAGTAGAATGAAGAAGGAACGGATTTCCGCATTGTCCCCTGGTAAGTATGTGAAACAATTGTAGGTAACTTTTAACAGAAAAGTTAACACCAGAATGCCGCATGATTTAATTTCGGCAAATTTTCTCTACATGTTTTTGAATGCGTACTACAGACGTGTGAATTTATAGCATCATGAAAGGAGCGCGGTTAAAATGGCATGTTGACCAAACTGACCAAACATACATTCATGCCACCTTGTCATCTGTTCCTGGTCTGCCACCACGACACAGCCAGGGTCACAAATGCGTCTTTCTGCACACACAGAGTTGGGTTAAGTTGTTTGATGGTTACGGCCTTCGCATATCGTAAATTTAGATGGCTCATGGATGCATAGATAACACGAAACGCACGCACGGGGTCTACACAGTGGTCGTCAGTCAGCGGGTGGCAGGCAATTGATGAAGCTGGTTGTTTGTAAGGAAATTCATTTCGCTTCCTTGGCTGCGCATCAGAGGTGATGGACGTGACCGTCTGCGAAACGTGCTTACTCACCCACGCCGGTATGTGCTCCGCGACCCTCATCCTCAATTCTCCTTCTGTCATGCCCACGTATTCGGCCTTGCAAATACATGTCCTTTGGTAAAGGAGGTGTGAACAGCTGGACAGCGACAGCGGGGGTTTAACCGATGGAGTAGGGATACGATTCGTTGTGTAGATGAGTACTAGTTCCGCCGCAGAGCATACACGCGCCACTGCGGATTTCAATCTGCACCGAAATACCTGGCATATGTCGTTTCACTTGAATGACACTTTCAGGGTTACCTTCATCTTCGGTACCGTGGGCACACATTGTTCCGGTTGCTCAGCACTAAACTGAGCGATGAAATACCGTGGGTACTCAACGTCTACGACGGTGCTGGTTATCGGCCGCACCTCACGTTCCAGCATGTCAGCAGTGCATATTTTGCTAGCTCTGTCGAACAAAGTCTTCACCAGACCGTGTTCGTACCGCGTGGGGACAAATTTGCAGAAGTTCAAGTACTGTTCCTTGCAAGTTGAGTTGCGTTAAACTCATCTGCGTACCGAGTCATCACTCTTTCGCTCTATCAGGATGTCAAGGAACGGCATTGTTTCAGGCTGTTTGCATACCGTTGACACTCTTGTTCTGGTGTAAGCTATTCAACTTAGTAACCAGTTGTGCCAACTGATACTCGCTGTCACAGATTGACAAAATGAATGTAGGTGTGTTCAGTCTGGTAAATTTGCCATTTTAACTGCGCTCCTTTAATGATGAAATGAATTCACACACTTGAAAATATGCAGAGAAATTTTTCCAGAATTAAATCTTGCCGCACTCTTGTGTTAACCCAGGTGATTAATAAATTCAAATCGCTCAAAGTAATACACCCATCTGTAATTGTGGAATCAATGATGCTAAGCTGCACTGTAATCAACACATGGCTTCTAGAACTATGAGCAAAGATTAAATGCAATAAATTTAATATCACCTATAGACATGTATTACACTATTAGATACAATGATATCTTTACAACGCTCGGGCTTTTCAACTATTCTTACCTATCATTGTGTATCCGCGTCCACTGACAACAACGTCACTTTCTTGTTTGTGTGATCAGATTGTTCTGGTATTCAGCGAGATATATTTTTGCTCATTCAAACAACAAAGTTCTCTGTGTAGAATAATACCGTCACATGAACATCTGTTCGCACTTCCCCACCTAATCGCATTTAATGTGAGAAATTAGCCAATTTATCATCAGCATATGAGCAGAGGGCAATGTACTCGCATTTGGAAGCTACGTGGGGATTATCAGTACGTCACCATTAGCAGCACATTAAAAGACAATTACCAATATGTGGAGAAGCTTTGCATAATTGTTACAGGTGAACGTTAGCAACTATAATTGGAGTGGTTTTAACTATACAGTTGTAATGACGAACATGACCAGGTTTTCGTAAAACTGTTCTCTGCTCTCCTCTAGTACGTTCTTTGGCAAACGAATCGCAACTCAGAACCTACAAACTGTACGATTTGCTGTTTACGGATGCTTGGAAACCAAATTTAGCGAGAGTTGTTGGCCCACTTTATTGAAAGCGTAGATCAAGGAAATCTCGGTGCGACCATGATGTAGGTTGACTAACTAACAAGTAGGATTATTTTATACAAGTATTATATCCTGAAACTTTTATTGCGAAATCTCACTTTTTCATCTATTCGTTTGCAGCTGAAGACCCATCGAAGTGATCTGGTGTTCAAAGTTAATAAAAATGGGCAGATTTTAAAGACGAGTTGTGATCAAGTGCTTGCGAAACCAGCGCATGAAGGCAAAGAAATTTCTTTCAAATATATTTAACAGACTTGATGAGAACGTTTTATATCCAGACAATCGTATCCACTTCACAGACGTCAAATATCCCTTCTGACACTGGCGACATGATCAAACACGGCCAAAAGTAAAGCGACACATTTACAAACGCGAGCAACACAGCAACATACATAAACACCTACATACATTTACACATTTATAGATCCCCAGATATGACATTATTGTTACATTGTTGTACATTACTCTGTCACGCTTTGTACCCTTGCCGTTGGTCAGTTTTGTACAGGCGTGCCTCGTGTTGTCGAGAATAAACAATTTATTTATCTATTCATTTGTTTAACTGTTACTAGGTGGGTTGCGGATATCAAGAGGGGCAGGGATAGTATTGGGGTTGACGTAGGGTTTGTTTGCTCGAAACGACATGTAAAGACCATATGAAAGTCATTCACTCTATGTTATTGGATGATAGATTATCCATTTCTCATATAGACATAACTTTGGGCATCAATTACGGCTCAAGGCGGATCGCTTAAACCAGGCATTCTCAAAATTTATTCAGCCATGGCCCCTTTTGTACCTTTTCATTTCTCATTGCTACCCCCCCCCCATCAGCACCACAATTTCAGCAACAGAGGTAGATCTATTACCTCTAGTAACCACATTAGTATTTTGTTATAATGGCTGAATTCTTAATGTTGGTAGCAGTGCTGTTTCCATTAGAAACTGCTATTGTTAACTTGTACAACCTCAAGGTAACCTAACTTTGTGGCAATATCAAGCCACATGTCTGTAATTGCACAAAACTCAGCATCAATATTTGCAACTTTAGTTAATTAGTATTGGCTTTTGACTGTAAAGTGTGTGGTAAATTAGGAGGTGTGGTAACCTCATGCCATTATGTTTGTCAAGATACTAATGCGAGCCTTGAGCCAGACGTCCTTGAGCAAGCTTGCTTATGTCCGGCACCAGAATTGACAGCGAGAGTCAAAGATCACCTCCTGCCGTGATGTCCAATCTTTTGCTACTTTTGGTTGGAGAAACCACTATTCTGATTCCACATTAAATCTAGTAAATGGATGGAAAAGCAAGGTACCATATTTCAGCTGTTTCTTACAGTCTGCAATATCTGGTAGGGTCATCGGTCTTTAGCCAAATATCCATTTTCTGTTGAGTGAATTAGGAGCTTGCTAGTGAGTCACTTTGAAGTTATATGAAACTTTCCTGGATTTTAACTTCAACATCGTAGGGCTGTGGACCAAATGGATCTAAAATGTAAACCGGGATTTCCATGTCATTCAGGTCATGAAATATCTTTCATTTCTTTTTGAGGTTGCTGTAAATGATTATCATAAACAATCAAGTCTTCAACCTTCAGCTCTTCCGTGACTGTAGCGAGATTTGGGAACTGTGAGAAATCACGACGTCCGATGTTTTGAGCATAGATTTCCAGCTTTTTAAGAAAAGCGATAATGGCTTCTTTGCTTGAGGTGAGAGTACCCAACTTGCGTTGGTGAGTCTCATGTAGTAAGTTGAGTTTTCCAAAAACAGCTCCATTAAACACATCTAGTTTGACTGTTAACAGTTTTTGCTCATAATCAGTTCCAGAAAGATATGTGATGATGATGGCACAGAGTGAAAAAATGGAGGAGAGTAGCCGTTGCAAAGCATGCAAAAGTAGCACCTGGAACTCTTCACGGTTCTCCTCACACAATGTCTGGAAACAAACGATCGTGAAGGGGGTGCAGTTTGCTATTGTTAACTAAAATCATGATGCTTGACAATGAATCGTCTAAGCGCCCAGCCAAGTTATCCGACACTAGGTGCTCTCGACGACTTACACAGCGAATTGTATGAGCAGAAGGGAGAATATTTTTTGGATTTGGAACAAATCCCTTATATTTTCCGATCATTGGGGCAGTACCATCAGTTGCACATGCAATTATGTTCTCTGTTATTATGGAAAATTTTAGTCAAATACCTATTGACTACTTCAACTATAGACTGGCCCTTTGTATATGTTTTAAATCTCCTGGCAGACAGCATCTCTTCCACTAACGCAATATCATTGAAGAATCGGACATATACCACGAGAACAGTGTCGTTGTAATCTAAAGTAGGTTCATCTAAATGTAATGTGAATTTGTTAGACTGTAATAAAGCAACTTGGTACTTTCTATGTCCTGCGTCATCTCATCAATTCGCCTAGATACATCCAAATTGTTGAGATGAATGGGTTGAACGTTTACATATGCGTACATATTCCTCAGGTCAGTATTACTGAAACCAATGGCAGCATAATATTTTATGCAACATTATATGCACTGCGACTTTTGGCAATCAACTTGCTGATTTTATATGACGCTGTAAGTCCATTCGTCATTTTTTGCCCTGTCATAAACCATTGTCTTTAATGTTGGTCTGTTTTCCAGATTATCCTCTAGCTGTCTGAAAAAATCCGCAGTTTGTATTTTCGTGCTTACGAACACTTTCCAAATGAGTTTTCAGTTTACTTGGTCGCATACTTTCATTTGTAAGTGTTTTGGCGACTAAAACACAGGTTGAGTGGGGTTTTGTGATGATGCGATAAATTAATCTAACAGATATTCCAGGGAGCACTGATGACACTACTTTGTCGAGGAGCTCATTCCTGCAATATATATATATAT